AATATTTATATAACTTTATTATTAAATAAAATAATAAATAAATTATTGACACTTAACACTTAAGTTGACACTTAAGATTCCAATTTATTGTATATGAAGTTGATATTAGGATATAATTGTTTTTTTAACATTAAAACTATTTATGTTTTTGATTAAACCAAAAACATTATTAAATTGATGAAGAGATAAAGTGTTGCGTTTTATTTAGGAAGATTTTTCATAACTTGGTTGGCTAGTTTTTACACATACACAGTAAGTCCTGACATTATACCATTGGAATATCACTTTTGCTTATTCTCACAAGATTTTCTTTATAGGCAAAATTCTGACAAAGATACGAGTAAAAATAAAAAATAAAACCTTAAAATTTGATAATAAAATAATAATGATTTTAGTTGAAAAATGGTAGGGATGATCAAGATGTAATCAAGTGATTAGTGTAATCTTTAGATTATTAAAATTAATTTTAAAGCCAAAAAAAATATATTTTAATTTTTTCGAAAATACGCAATAATATATTTTTCTCGATTGAATAGTATATTAGTGTAGTAAATATTAGGCAAACACTAATTTATAATTCTTCTTCCTTTTAATTTACTTATTCTATAAAATCTAGTAGTCATATGTGGTTGTTGTATTATGGTTAATATCACTTTTACATGATTTTTCTAATTCCAGTAATGGTTGTCTAGTGGTCGAACTGAGTAGTTTATTGTTCACACTTATTTATAATCTTTCTTATTTTTGATTTACTTATTCTGTGAAATGTAGTGGTCAGTTGAGGATACTATGTAACTGTTAATATCATTCTTAAATAATTTTGTAATTCCAATTGTGCCTACTAATTAAGCCCAAGTGTTTTCTGCCTTAAGGTTTCAAAGATATAGATTTTAGGTGCAAAATTGCAGGCATGATAAAAAGAAGTACATGTATTAAAATATGAAGAAATAAAATATGTAGTTTTTAAAAGAAGAAAAGTCTGATAACAATTTTTATTTCAAAACTGTTGAACAGTTTTATATCCTAACAATCTTTTCAAGAGCTTTATTACTAACCAGGGAATTGATCATTTTTGTATTTTATCTACAATATTTGACATTATTTTAAAAATTCAATATATTTTGTATAATTTTTCATAAATTTAACTTTAAGATATTACAAAGCACCATCCCATCATGGACAATTTAATAAAAGCAATTATGTAATTAAGTGAACGATTTTCCTATAAAACTTCGTTATGATAACAACGACGTAACTAAAACGCAAACTAATTAGATTTGAAATTAAATTATTTTCGAAGAATAAAGGCGGAAAATAAGAAAAAGATAAGTGCACAGAGTCAAAGAAATGTTAGTAGATAAAGCTTCGAGGGTAAAAATGTCTAAGTTGGAATAACATTAGTGTATCGACGAAGAGATTAAATTGTTGTAGAGAAATATTTTAAATTCTACTAAATGGAAGGCGGAATAAATAAATTTCCGTTGTCAAATTAAGTGTCAAATAAAATGTAACAAATGACCATTTGAAATAATACTAAAGCCCGAAATGATTTTTATTAATAATTTTATGTAGCTTTTATATTCATATAGTCATCTTAATTACAGAAAAAAATTTAATTTTAAATATTTCTTTATCATTTTATATTTTTTTCAAAAAATTTTTTTGCGTCTTGATTATAACGAAAACATAATTTAAAATTTCAATTAATTTTACATTAAATTTGAACAATTGTATCAGTTCCTGTCAGAGCATTTTTGAAGTCTTCACCTTATCGTGCAGGTAATTGATTTCGTTTTAATTGATAATTGATTAGTTTGACAACTTTTGTTAAAAATGTTATCAAATTTTTACTTCCATATCATTTGATATCAGTTAACTAAGAATTGCAATAAAAGTTAAATGTTTTCAAAAGTAATATTAAGTGGAGGCTAGTATATTAGAGTATGACAAATTCTACCAACAAATTTGTTGGTAAGAATAGAAACACGTCATTTTTAATATTTTTAGAATGATTGATGATTGTAGTCAAGAAAAATTTCAGTACGTAATTCGGTATAGTTCTGGTATAATATCTGCTAAAGTTCAATTTTAATTATAAGTAACTCTTTGTATTACCTGTGTATAAATAAAGTGCAAAATTGTTATTTTAAATTATTTTTAGAAGCAATAATTCAAAAATTATTTATAAAATAAATCAATTACATGTTTACTTAAAATTAGATTTTTCCTTTTATTAGTGTATTTCATTATTTATTGTTAATAATATATTTTTTAAGCGAACGATAACACATCAAATACTTATGAAATATTCAATCCTATAACAAATCTGTTTTGATTGGTAAATCTAGGGCAACTTTTTCAATCGAGATTTACTTTTAGTGCAATTTACATTTTCGATTGACAAATTTCTAGCGAAATAAATAACACACGTGATTAATATATAATACTTTAGATATTTTGTTAAAATAGCAACACAATCCTAAAACTAACAGCTGTTTTATATGACTTAATAAATAATGTGTGACTTGATACGATATACGTATTTATGAAAAACAAATGTCTATTAACAATATTAAAAAATGTTTAGATTACTCTAAAATTGTTAGAGCTAGATTCTAGATATTATATTGAATTTTTCCTTTTATAGGTGTATTTTATTATTATTTGTTAATAATATCTTTTTTAACGATTAAGAAAAATCCAAAAATTAAGGAAATAGGAAAAAGAAATTTTCAAAAAAAAATCTAATGAAAATTAATAATACTGTTTATTTAAATATACACAAATAACGCTCACAATAATTGTTAATAATAATAATATAAAATCCACTGAAACCAGACCTGAAAGTATGCAAGTTGAAATATACTATCCACAAATACAAGTTCAACAGAAACTGTTATAAAAATACTGAACTGGAGCTTCCAAGAGTAGTTATAACCTAATATTTTTATGCAAAACACATAATTTAATAAAATAAATAAGAAATAAACAACTAAATAAAAAAAAGTAATTAAATAATATATAAAAAATGGAATTTTATACTAATCAAAATTATTATTGACTAAAAGTTTTGATATATGTTGGGCTATAAAGGGTATTGAATCCTACAGTTTGCGTAGAAAAGTTAGACGTTCTTGCCTTCTGCCTGACTATTATATTCTAGAAAGTAAGTTCTTACTACATATAATCTTCCCTATATATGCATTGAACAATGACAAATTTGATGTGAAGTACCATAGTTTTTTCTTGATTTTCATAGCTGTGGTAAGAACCATTTTAAGAAAGATTCTTTTTTATTTAAAAATATTTTTTTACTTTATAGTATGAGATTTGAAAATTTTGCCTGATATTGTTTATAATTTAAATAAATTAATCAAAAATGTGATTTTTCATATTATGATTAGTACATCCACTCAAAAATGGGTGTACTTTGCCATATTATAATTTCAATGTAATTTAATTCTCATTATAATATTTTATTTAAATTGTTTAAATATGATATTTTATTACAGTTAAATATGTTATTGCATTTTTGTTACAATGTTTACACATAAAATAATTATTATCAATATATTTAAAATATGATGGTAAGAAATATTAATTTATATTGCATGTTCAACTATGGTTATATAAATAAAGTTTTTATTTTTTATTATCGGAACCGATAAACACTATATTATTAATAATAATTTATTATTATTTTATGATAAATCATTTAATAATATATAGATTATAATTATTATCATATAATTACATGAACACATTCAGGAAGTCTATTAATATGCATTAAAAATTAAATACAAAATTAAAATGCTTGATTATAAATAGTTAAAAAAACTTAAAAACAATTCAACAGTTTTTTCACATTTACTAGTTCAAAATATATAACAATGTTATTGCTTACAAAATATAAATATAATAATTATAAAATTAAAAACATTAAAAAATAATAAAAATGTTAATGTAAGAAAATGTAATAAAAAGTAAAAATATAAATTGTATATTATTTTATTTATATAATATATCAACAAAAAAAAAAAGATTGAAAAAAAAGTCAATGCAAAGAAATGAATTTCATAATAATGTAAATTCGATCATAAAATAAATTAAGTTAAATTATTAAATTAAATTTAAAATAAGGAACAACCAATGTACACATATTAATTTTATATTAATGACCTTTTTATTATGAAATTAAAAAAAAAATATAATTATAAAAATTCAAATTTAATAAATCATATATAATATCTAAAGTCTTTATTTAATAATATTTATATGTTATGTAATATTTTGAATATATAAAATAAATTTAAAAAAATAAATACTATAGATTAAAAGTTATAAATTAGTTTTATATGTACTTAAAAAAGAATGTTGAAAAATAATATTCCGAACTTAAGCAAAATAATTGCGGACAATAAAAAAAATTCAATTTGTTTGTATATTTAAATATATACTCGTAAAATGGAGAAAATGAAATAAGTGTGCCATAAATTTCTAACATTGTGTCTCTATGTCTCCTCTCATACATAACAAATACCCCTACTTTGAATACACGTTTCATGGCCATTTTGTTTCTTTTCGCTGAATGGCTGAATAGGACCTTATTTCTATATACTCCATTGTAAGAACAATAAAAATTTATTGGTTTCACTTGAGTATAAATTAAATTTGGAACATAATTAAAGAAAAACACAAGTACTACGAACTATGAATATGCAGATATACATATATATTCGCTAATGGAAGAAATTTACACATTTTATGCAAAAATTTCTTCTAAATAGTTTCGTAAGAACACTCTGAAAACTTATATAAATGGTTGCATAATTCACTTTAAAAAATGCAATGTCATTATTTATCATAGTATATATCACAAAAGTGAGGTTCTAATAGTTAATATAACAAGCAAAGATTTTCCTTCTTTTACATAAAAAGAAGACTCTTGACTCTTGATTTGTATATTATATTACACAATAAAAATGATTGACCTGGCTTACCTGTATCACTTGGTGTGATATTACTGAGACGGTGTGTAAGAAAACCGCGTAAATTCGAGACTACACGTTGTGGCGAATTCGGCCCACTACCGATGGAAAAGCTACGTAGTTTGGAGAACAGGGCTGCGGGTTCACCACTGCCACTGCCTGTGGCGTTATTTGTACCCTCGTTGGACGCCACTGTCAATAATTTGTTACGTATTAAGTTTCTCTAAAAATTTGTATTCTTTTATATTTAAAACTTTTATATAAAAATTGAAAAGAATCAATAATAATAGATCAGCACTTAATTTCGTTTAATTTTTGTTACTATCGGAGGGTAATTCTTTATGTTTTATCGTACACGTACACTTTCGCATCACATTCGCCACAAATCTATTGTTTTCAAATTCCGTAAATTCTTCCTAGCATTCCACTGCAGTTTTGTAAAACAAAAATTTTAAAATTTTTTTCAACAAATTTAATAAAATTAATTTTTTATTTTGTTCCAAAACTAAAATTTTTGTATTGAATTTTTAATATACATGTATATACAAATATATATATATCATGTATATAATAATATATTATCCTGTACACACACACTGAAGGTTGGAAAAAATAAAATTAAACCAGACGACCACCGTGCGTCGTCCAGGCCAGAGCAAAGGTAACTTCTGTCTGGCAGCGTGTGCAAGTTATACTCGTAACATGCCTGTGCTAACGAAAGCTACACCGTAGCAGTGCTTTACCACTCAGCCTGGAAATTTCGTACTAGTCTGTGCCTTGCGAACATGCTTAACCCAACTGCCACCCACCGATTTTCGTAGATACATTCCAAAGCGCGCTGTGTGAAAATTACGGGGGCATACGAAGGTGTACTGATGTTAGACTTTGGGTTTGTGTGATTGTACGTTCTGCGCTCTCCTTTCTACAGTGTTCAGAGTTGTTTGGTATACAGGATATCGGCTAGGGGCATGCGCAGTTCTTGTGGATTCATTATAATGAATGTATCAATTTGTGCGTCCATCCAATTGGCTTGGAGTGCTGGCGCTGTTCCCATGCATATTATTTTCACATAGTTGAGCACATTTGAATAATTTTCTTTGAACTTTTCTTCTTTGTTTTGTGGAAACTGCTAACGTGCTCATCTGTTTCATGGTTCTGCAGCGATCCCATATTTACTCAGGTATTTTTGAATGTAAGGTATACTTCCGACATTTCTTTCGTGAATACTTTAAATAAAGGTAACAACAAATAAAACACATATATATTAATTCATATAAATATACACACTAATTTACATAATGAATATTGATGATTTATTGTAATGTTATATATTTCAATCAATAATATAAATTTAAAATATTTATATTCATCAAAAATATAAAAATTATATTAAAAAAACAACATTTAAATTATTGCTTTAACATTATTCTCAATTATAATGTCAGCATTTATTAAACATATAAAATATGAGTAATAATCTTTTAGTCAAGACTAGAATATATTTTGCAATATTTATTGCAGTCTAATAAATTTTTTTATTCGTTACAATATATTTCCCAACTGTTAAAATATCAAATTTTTTATATAACCGATACTTATACTATAAAAATATGTATAGAGAATTAAGGAGGATTGTTATCTATTGTATATTTTTTAAAGTTTGTGTGCGTTTTTTAAATTAACATCTTAAAAAAACTTTTAAAATAAATTAACGTGAATGGAGCAATTTTTTAAAGCCTATCCATTCAATAACAAAGAATGGACATATGGGTTGTCTATACTGTTATGTTTCTGCATGCCTACGATTATTTCCAAGGGCTAAATATATCATATCTTGTCTGCCAACTAACATTCGTGTTCAACAGCAGGCTCCAACTGATGCAATGCGCTTAAATTCATTCTTAAAGAGTCTAGAGTAGATATAAGACTCTGTCACAATATTGATTATGGACTAGACCTCCTCTGCTTGATCGCAAGTTACCGACTAATTATCCCTAAATAGAAATATTAGGCTACGACCAACACGTTTTCAAATGATTGCTTTGTGATTTACACTGATAGATCTGCCACAATAAAATATTTGGCAGGAGTATTTACTTTTTTGCGACTGGCAAGCAGCCATTGCTTCCTTTAATAGAGTATTCACAACATCTAAGCTTGTATTAGAAATCATATATCATTAAACAAGATGTCAGGCTGATTTGAATTGGGTTCTGGGCCAGAGGGATGTTACTGGAAACTGTAATGCCGACATCAAACATTTCTGTTGTAGAGGTTTGTTTACCTCCAGTCAAATTAGCTATACGTACCGAATATTTTAAAACAGCAAACTAAAGATTGCGTATATGACACCGATCAGTTTCGCAGCTCTGGATCAGTGAAGGAAAAAGAGATTGTTACCAATCTGTTCTGTTGTCGGAACTCGCCAAAAGGTGCCGCTATCCAATCTAGGGTCTCCCTTTATGAAATGTCGGTTCCATATCACTTGCACCTACAATCTTTTTGTCAATCCTTTTCTTTCTTCATGATTATTATACTCAAATAATGTCAGATTGTATGTAGGTAAGGTACTGTTCATTTCTAATTCTGCCATTACGATCTTCGATTACTACCATATTATTTTTGTCAGCATCCAACAACATGTAAAATAATCTATTGTCTTCAGTATCCTAATTATTATAGTTAGTATTGGTATTAAAAGAGGTTTTATTTATTTAATACTTAGTTTCATAACAGTTTTATATTGTACAATATTTTTGAAAGAATAGAGTTGTTATTTTTTGTTTTTATTTTTATTCTCAACATATTTGTTATATCATATCATATCATACATATCATGCATACGAATTGATATCAACTTGTATTTTTTTTTTTTGCATCATTTCAAATCATTTTGTAAACCATACTTCTTTTGATCCTTTAGGTTTGATCTATGAACGATATTTATATATTGGACCATTATTTGATTTTAGGTAAGCTTCGGCGGGCAAGGCTGCCATAAGGATTAAGCATAACTTAACTCAGAATATACTTCAGTTTCAATTCTTTTTAATGATAGATTAAATTAAGAGCAATATTTTGTCTAAAACAAAATTCTCTTTTACGTCTAGCGTTGTTTGGGATATTTTTTGAAATTCTTTTTCATATATAGTATTACAGTCAATCTTCCATAACTCGAAGCACCATTTCGCAAAGAAAAGTTTCGATTTATGGAGAAATTTAAAAGAAACTAGAGTTACTCGAAGCACCATTTCGCAAAGAAAAGTTTCGATTTATGGAGAAATTAAAAATTTAAAATTTTTTTAAGAAACTAATTTATTTGACATCAAATACAGCACAGAAGTTATAGTGAAGTGAAACATTTAAAAATTTGGCTTGGGTTTTTATTTTTTTCTTATTTTCATTAAAAAAAAATTCCAAGTTATTCCAAAGCCAATCATCATCAGTTCGTTCGTAAATAAAAATTCAGAATTTTGAATGAACCCCAATCCTCATCATTACTTTCCGTTGCGCTTAGAATCGGGTCCACTAATTCAAAGCTATAATGCTCAATAGGAAAGGTTAATAATGCGTCATCTGTAGAAAAGGTTGATTTACATATTTCTGTGTTAAGTTCAATATAATTGTTAAGAGTAGTATTGAAAGTTATTTTATTTACTTTAAATCACGCTGCCAATGACTGGCATTTGCACAAAGAAACAACAGAAGAAAAAAAATTAAACGTTTGGTTTGGAAAAAGGGACTTCCTCTAACACCACAATGGATTCATACTAAAAACAATAATTCGACTTATAGAATGCACTTTCCCATATTAATATTAGCACATGACAATATTTTTATTTGATATAGAGTAATTCGAGTTATTGAAGTCCGAGTTATGGAAGCAGAATTGTATGTTCGAGTTATAGAAAATTCGAGTTATAGAAGTTTGATTTATGGAAGTTTGATAGTATTTCATATTTTTATAATGTAAACATGTACATTATATACTTATAATTATTTCTGAATTGTTCTTTTGTCTTTTTCAAGTTGGGCTATAGTGTTCGCTCAAAATAAGTTAAATTATGCAATATTATATTTTTTTAAACAAACTTTGAAATATATTTGTTTGCATGCATTTTGAAGTATTTAAATGTTAGTGGCATAACTGTCATAAAATACACAATAAACGAATGGATTAAATGCACTTGGGACTAATAAACTACATATTTGTCAACTTTTTGCAATGTTTTTGTGCAATTTTATTACTTCTTCATTTTTCTTTTATGACTATGTGCAGTTTTTATTGCCACTTGTAATTTTATTGTGTTTTTTGACAACTTTTTATTGACATTTTCAATAAAATAGAAATAAAAATGCATTTAACCAACCCAAAAGAAAAACTATTTTATTTTGTCAAAATACTAGATATAAAAAATTGCATATATTAAGAATAGAAGAAACGAAAACAAAAACAAAAAATAAATAAAAATAAAAAAGTAATTTGTACGGTAATTGCTAGGAATGAGGCCGATTTGTATCTGCTGACACTGTTACAATTCGAAACACACTTACGTGCACTTTTTGTATCTAAAAGTTTTTATTTCTCGCTTATGTATGCGCAGAGTGTAACGAGCAAAAAATAACAGATATGTAATTTTTCATTTTCAGTGCCGCATAACAGAGAATTGCACCAGAAATGCCAAATGTCCTTTGACTATGAGTATGACTATGTGTACTATGAGTGTTCATCAGAAATGACATGGACAAATACTTCATTTATCAGGCTTAGATTGATTCTCTACAAATATGATAAGGCAGTCAGTCACAAGTTCAAATTAAATGATCAAAATTATTTTGAAATTCAAGTTTAAATGCAGTAGTGATTTTTAAAGATTGTAAACGGAAATAGAAAAACTACAAACTACAAACTACATACGTGAAGCTGTAAGGATATTTATTTGGCATGCTAAAATACGAAATTTCATTTCAGTTTTTTAAGTGAAAATTTTCACATCCACTAAAATGTCATTTACATAAATGCAAATTTTTATTAAAAACTTTTTATCCTTTGCAGTTTTTTTTTCTTGTTTTTCATTAGTTTTATATAAGGCTAAAGGATATAACAAACTAAAAGTTTTATTTGTAATTTATGGCATAACATTAAGGCAATGTAATTGATTGTTGTGTGGGTGTCATGTGAACGTTCTCAACTGTACTGACTAACGAGAAAAACTTTTACTCAGATTAAGTGCTCACAGCACACACACATACACACATAAGAATACAAATTCATACACTCATACTCTTGTAAGATTATAACTATATTAAGTGTTGTTGCAAAAATGAAAAAGTTTCTCTCTTGTGTGACTTAATCGTCCTGTCAATTCTTTATGTGTCACTTTTAGCTGCTGTCCGCATGGAAAAATGCAGCTGAAATGTAGCTAAATTAAGTTTATCGCATATTTCTTGCGTTTACTGTGTTTTAATTGCGAAAACAACAAAATTTC